ACCCCAAAACCCCAAAACCCCAAAACCCCTTATTCTCTATAAAAACTTGAAAAATTGATTTATTTCAAAAATGAACCCAGACAACCCATACTCCTCTTCGACTCTTCAAATCCCTCCACCCTCCTCCACATACCATATAACCATTGATCGACCCCTTTTTCCAAACTCCCCAATCCCTCAATCCCCCTTCCCAAACCTTTCTCCAAATAAAAATCCTCATCCAAGTAACTGCAGACCTCAGACATCCAAAAATCATGTCTGTAAGCTCTTCTATCTACTCTTTAAACCCTATTTTTTAGTCAGGAGGAAGTTGAGTGGAATAAGGCAAGAGAGAAGGTAAGTTAAGGCTTATTGGGTTTAAAGTGAAGGAACAAAGAGAAGTAAGAAAACGAAGAAGGTATTTTAGGGGTTTCGGGGAGAATTTTGGAATTTTTGAGGGACTTTAGGAGGTTATGAGAGATGTGATTTAGGTAGTTACGAAGAGAAAGGAAAGTCATAGAAATTATCATATTTATGAACGTTTGTACCCATTTAACTCAAAAACTGGACTTTTGAAAAAGTAAGCTTGGGAAATATTTACTAACTGTGATACAGTAAAAGGCGGAAAGGTTCTTATAAGCATCGAAGACATAGGATTGACTTTCATTCAACTGCAAGAAACAACCTTGCTTTGAAAAACTTTCTGATTCTTTACGTAACTTTTATAACAATCTTTTCTAGAATTAAAAGAATGATACTTAAGACCCAACTCCAATAGAAGGTCAAGAAAGAAGACCAGAGGTTTAAATCTGAGCGAGAGAGATAGTTGAACTATTAGTTGTGAAAGCAACAAGGTAAAATCTTTTGTGACTAAATTGACTGCTGTATCTGTCTTTGAGCTTTTCTCTTATAATTCAAATTTATTTTCTAATCTATTGAGTAATTTTATTCGAGTGTTGGCCTCATTATCAATAATATTATAGATTCCAGTTTCTATTACAACGAACTAGATTCATTTTTCAAAAGAAGACAATTCCACTCAAGATTTACTAGACCAAGCAGGACATTTTATCGATATGTTGAAAAAGTTTAAGGATATTTATGGCAGACAATTTGACACTTCAGACATTTTCAAAGGTATATTTTTGCTAACCTCCTAGAGATAGCTAGAATATCACAGCAATCTAGAAATATAGAAGCTTATGAAAACCTAGGTTTAAACCAGTACCCTGATCTGAACGATCTTCAAATTTCTGAAAATCTAAGAATCGAAGAAAATGAATATCAAAATCTCATCTCAAGCAGGCACAATAGACTAAATCGATCAATTCCTCATGGTCAGAACTCCTCAGTCCTTACTAAATCAGTACACTTTCAGGAAGATAGCCAGATTGGACAAGAACATTGACCTATTCTTTTCTGATTATAATTGCTCGAGTCAAGAAGGTATCGATATTATGTTGCGAGAAATGATGAACTTATACTAACTCTATTTCAAACATGAACAATTTTTGTTTTATAATATCGGGCTTAATTTTTTAGAAAAGGATATCTGCTTTATGAGTGCTTGGTTATTTCTTTTAGCTTCCGATCTGAATACATTTCTATTAGCTTGTATGATGAGAGAAAATTAAGTATGACAAATCAGCTCAATTATTCTTATTAAAAGACTAAATTATAAACCTGATTGACCCCTATTGGTTGATAGAATATTTTTGTTCAAATAATACGTGTTTGGACTATTTTTGAAATTGAAAGGGAACCAGACTAGTAATTTTGTCTGATTTTGAAAGACGAGATTTCTATAAGAGCATCAGTTTTTGTGGGAATTAAATTTATCTATTATAGTTTATACCAGAGAGGATTCAGAAAACATTAAAGAGTAAGAAAGCAGGCTTGATTGATTGAATTTTCTTCAATGGATAATTGGGATTAAGTTTATTTTCAGAGAGCAAGGAGCAAATATTTTTGATAAAAAATTCCTTAAAAAGACAGCAAAGAAATATTCTAAAGATTCTAAAGCTTTTCCTATTAATTACTACGAACCACCTCCAAAACGAAAACCCCAAAACCCAAGTAATTCTTCAAAATCTCACTCTCAAAACCACCTCCAAACTCCCCTACTCCTCTCCCAACTCCACAATTCCTCTCTCCTCATTCTATCCCCTTCTATAGCTCTCAAGGTACTTCCCCCTCACCATCATCACTCCTCTTCCAAACGCCGTTCCATCCTCCACAATCCCCTCCATATTCTGCCCAAATCCCTTAATTTCCTCTTAAATCCTTCTAAAATCCTAATTTCTCTGTAAACTTTTCTAGTCTTTTCTGAGAAGCGGCCTTAAGGATTTGTACCATGAACGGTAAGAGTTATAGTAAGGATTTTAGAGAGTAGGAAGAGAGCAAGGAAAGACTGGGGAAGAGTTTTGGTGTAGAAGGTGGGGTTAGGATAAGAGATTTTCAAGGGGTTTTAAGGGAGAAGGGGTTTTGGGGTTTTGGGGTTTTGGGG